TCAAGCATGAATCAAGAAAACCAATCTCCTCATCCTGATTTTGTGGACAACCCAATGATTTGTCCAGTCCCCCTTCATCTTTATTTACGTTAATGCACTTAAATAATTGAAAAAGTAGAGATAGAAAACAAACGAGAGGAAGATAGTGAAAGACTAAGAAAACCTAACTATTGCTAGCAAAACCGGGGAGACAATAAATGCAACATTTAGCGATGAATTTTGTGGAGAACACGATAATTTGACCAGTCCATATTCATTTTATTATACCTGCATGTACGTTTGTATGTGCCTGCATGTGCTTGTAGGTAAGATAAAGCTAGATAGAGAGAGACTACGAGCACACGTTTACTGAAGATGGTTCCGAGTAGGCGAAAAAAAATGCAAAATTCCGGTTTGATAGTATCCATCATTTGTCCAGCTTTGCTGCCTGGCCTCTTGCGTGAAAATGAGGTGTGCCAAAGGCATGTGAACATTAGGCGGACTATAACGAGAAGAGGTCGCTTCAGACGATAGGAAGAAGGGATTAACGGTTGAGTTTCTTACAAAGCAGAAGGCAAACCGGTTTCCTCGTCTTGTATAATGGCCCACAGAACCCACCCCAACGAGAGTCGTAACTGAGTCGAGGGCATCAAGCGGCAGAATGTTGTCAGCCGACCACGGGACAAGTGTGACATTTAAAGCCCACCCAATAGAATTTGCCTCGCTTTATTGACTTGAGGTGAGGCTAAGGCTAGTTAAAAATTGAACTACTCATTTGCATATAAGTAGCAGACGCCTTAAGTCGCCTAAGGCGATTGAAGGAATGTTAGTTGAGTCTTTCCTCAATCAAGATGCCAATGTAGGTCACATAGCCTTGCTTCTCAAAAGGTACTCCCATCCACGATGGACTACAGATTCGACCTAGCCTTAGCTGACCTCATCTCCACCCCCAGTGGGATTCGATGCCGGGTCGTGATTATCATGACGATGGCATTACTGCTCAAATAGCCATGGGCACCAGTGGGTCACAGGACAGATGTACTTTTCGAGGCAATTTAAATTTTTATGTTGAAGTTTTCCATAATCATATGAGTATAACTGACTTTTCCATTGAATAAACCGGACATCCACGATATTACATATTTTCTTTATGAGTAGGTTTTGGCCTTAACCGACCTAAGGTCATTAGGTTATATTTAAAAATTACTGATAGTCTCGAAAATACCCACGTAAAAAACTAATCGAGTCTCCTTTTTGTGAAGATGGCTTAACTCACACACATACACACACACTCTCTCTATCTATCTATATCCATCTCTCAATATATCTATTCATATATCGCTCTCTATCATTTTATTTCTCTATCAATAAAACATAAGTTGTTCTTACCAAACTCCCGCCTACACTCCTTGCATCCTAACATCTGCTGATTTTTACGACATGTCTAATTTTACCCTAACCTGCAGACACGGAAAACTGACAAAATGCTGACATTATATTTCGTATCTTGTTACCGTCAAGTTTTAGAAACCGGAAGGTCTGCCATACTTGTGAACACATAATTCCGCAACCCCGAGTTGTTTACCTGTTCAACAAAGGTGCCAAGTTTACTATGGCGACCTTTGTGGCTTGGATCTACGAATCTCTGCATCACAAGAATTGTCATGGAACGAAAGTCAGTTCATCGTCTACATGACTAAGACTGAACTCGAGCTAACGTCCAATAGAAGGTTCTACTGAGCTGTGTGTGTGTGGTGTTTATTTTGCGTCTAAACACAAAGGTACCTACCAGATGTGAAAATTCGATGTTCGTCCTCACCGACCTGTTGTTGAGCCTCTGCACCGGCCGGAAGTTGTCGGCCATTCGTCCGGACTGCAGGAATGGTGACATACGCAGCTGTCGCAACGACTTGAGCTAAATGTATGAGTGGGTAGGCAAATGAAACAACAAAAACAGGGTGAATATGGACTGACAAACTCGAATGCATGGCTCAGAAGGAGCCGGTTTAAGTATGGTCCCACATCACAGCAATAACTGCACATACAAGAGAAATTATGAAGTAGAGGAATAGGCGAGATTAATTTGTGTTTCCGACATAAGAATGAATTTTTTTTCGTTTTGAGTAGGTTTTCGACACCTTTGTGCGAAACTCAATGGAAACGTCGGCTCTTCTCATATTATTGTGTGAAAGATCAACTACAAGTCCTTCATCATCTTAAACGAAATAGAGTGAATACTACTCATATATGAGAATATTAATCAGAACTCATTCAGCTTAGGTAGATTAGACTGATTTTGAGATTGCTAGTTCAGTCTTGAATGTTATTTTAAGCCTGGTTTCGATTTCAGCCCAACCTAGCGCAACCAACCCACGTCGGGATTTGCTTCAGGATAGTGGGTGTATTGGAAAGGTTTACATTGAAGCGCAAAGCCACAAGTACTTATGGGCAACGGAGAAAATATGACATGTTAGTCACATGTGCATGAAATAGTGTGATTGTCGATTAGGCAAACATCTATTTTACCCTTACAATCGACTACTTACCTTTAGTATAAGTAGTTTTTGAGACTATCAATGACTC